TCTAAAATGTTTTTGTAAACATTTCCTTAGCTCTGTAAACACACAATGTAGAAAACCAAATGCTAACTTCATGAAACCGTAATTGAACATAATATCAATACCATGAAGAATATTTAGGTCTTAATCAGTCATCATTGTCCCATTGAAATAAATAGGCCTTAAAATTGTTCAGATTTGATTGAATCTCTAAGAGGGAAGTTGTTTTTAATTAAAGAAAATTTGTATAGAGATATACACACGCACATAAATACATATACATGCACACATAACATTTTAAAATACTGACATGAAATCTTTAATCAAACAATTGTTTACAACATGAGTCACAAAAATAGAACAATAAAAAAATCTGCCCTTTAAAAAAACCCAAACTATTATCAAGAGGTTTTCACAATAGAGAAAGGTACTAGACAGGGGTGTCCTTTATTGCCATTGTTGTTTGTTTTAACATTGGAAATATTATTGATCAAAATTCGAGAGTCTCAGGAAATTAAAGGAATACATGTTAATAAAAAAGAATATAAGTTATTTTTGCGGATGACTTGGCAACCTGATTATTCTGTAGTAAACTTATTACAGTTGATTCATCATTATGGCTACCAAAATTTTACCTAAAAATATGTCTAGTCAGGAGAAGCAGATTTTGACTAACCTGACCTGTTTCTAATGTAAAATTATTTAAAAATAATTATGAAAGGTTGTGGGTCAGGGTACAGCTTGATGGGAAAAGTTGCAATTATCCCTCATGGGAAGAATTGCAGTGATAAAAATGAATATTTTACCCAAGTTTCTTTTTCTGTTTCAAATGTTACCAATTTTGAAAAATGAGATGAGTGGCAGAAGGGTCTTAATAAATTTATCTGGGCTTAAGTTTAAAATTATGCAAGACTTCCGTGAGAGGGGTGGACTTAAGGTACCAAATTTGAAATTATATTATGATGCAAAGTGCAAATTCTGAGAGAGGGATTTTACTTTATGATGCCTATCTTTTAAATCTCAGAATTTCTTTACTTAGGATTTGCCATTATGGGCTATAGGCATGCGATTAAAAAGAGGGGTTAAAATGGATATGACAGACAGTTACTTAAAGAATATTAAAATCACGGGAAGAGTTAGCACAAGAAAACTTTATTTATTCTTGGTTCCAATATAGGCAGACAGATTGGATTGTAAAGAGAAGATGAAAATCTTATTAAGGTGAAGGATTCAAGACAAACCCACATTGGTGCTCTCTGAGCTTGGACACCTGTATTTCAAATTTACACAAGCACAGAACTTAAGGGAGAATCACCTTGATCCACAAAAAATGTCTTACCCTGACGTGCAACTAGGTAACATCATCAGTGCAGAATTGTTAATTTATCAAGAATTTCAAAATTGGTTGAACATATTTAAGCTTTGAAAGGGAAAAAAAAATAAAATATAAAATGTAAAATTTATACAATTTAGCAAAAATATTATATAGTTTTTTCATAAGAACTTAATTTAATTTTTATTTTTATTTCTTAAGCCTATATTCTGCTCTGGGAAGCTCAGGGGGGGGGGAAGGGAGGGTGTTTTAGGGGTGGGGGATGGGGGGTTTTTCTTATATATGTATTGTTTAGTTTTATTTTTTTTGTATATGTTGTCTCTTGTTTTGTATTCTTTTTTCTTTTTTGTAAAATTTATAAAACTTTTAATAAAAAAAAAATATTTATATAAAGAAATGTTTGACCCTGAAATTTATTATTGGCAACAAAATGACTAACTACAGAAATTATTCCATTAACTAAGCATTATAATCAGGAAAACCTTCCCTAATTGATGTGTTTCTCTCCTAAAATTGCAAAGGCATTCAGAGATTGATATCAAAAGAAAATTGCTTAAAGAATTGTTAATTTGATAAAAGAATATTTGTAGCTCAGAGTTAAAATGAGGTGTCCTTGGTGCTCTCTGAGCTTGGCTGTTTTCTTTCAGACATTTCGTTACCCCAACTAGGTAACATCATCAGTGCAGAATTGTTAATTTATCAAGAATTTCAAAATTGGTTGAACATATTTAAGCTTTGAAAGGGAAAAAAATAAAATATAATGTACAGCTCTAGAACTAATTGTGAATCTGTTTTAAGCATTCATTCTTAATGTCTAAATCTAATACTTTGCCAGTTTTGGTATGTTGTTAGACTGGAATAAAAGGGAAATAAAATGGAAGCGTTGTTATATAAATAAATATAGGGATTTCCAATTCATATCTATATGTAGCATATAGTACAATGCAGTGTATCATATAAAAACAGTGATCTTACACCTTGAGGATGCACTTTGAAGAGGTTTACAATAGTTAGCTAAACAGATACCTGAATATTAACATAATTTGTATTTGTCAATCTTGATTCTTTAAACTCACAAAATGTTATATTAATAGAGTATTGGTTAGCAACATAAAATCTTTTTATAGTAGGTACTTCTAAAAATAGGTTTCAAAAGTTGAAAGACATAAATGGAAGTTTCAACACAATCTATCAATTGTATTTGTAATCTAAATTTTATATCTTCCATCTTCTGAAAATCATGTTCAAAGATATGATGGAACTGATTCACATTTCGTGATTTCAAAAGATACAGCAACAAGCATATTAAGCTAAATCCAAAGTTTTCTTTTATCTCTATTCTGTATCATACATATTTTACTCTGAAAACATTTTTTTAAAACATTATGAAATTGTTGAGATGAAAGAATCTTCTGCCTGCCATGTTTTATTTTTTATTTAAATGAAAACAAATTAGTATAGGATTCAGTCAAAGCAATTCTAGCGGGAAATGCTGTATAGAGGGAAATATTTATCTCAAAATATACAATAGATATGGCTGATATTAATTCCCAAATGTATCGGAGTATAGCATCCCTTACTACCTTGATTATTTGTTTCCAGATAAAAAATATTATTTATTAATTTGCTTAATAATACATGTGTGTTTCTATGCTTGTGTGGGTACATCATTTTATGTCTTCCTTATTTTACACAAATATAAATCCCAGTCTTTAGTTTTGTATTAAATGGTACTGCAAAAGTTGATCTCTTTTCTGTCTGACAAAGTGCATCTAAACATTCCTTAGAACACTTTTTATTGTCACAAATCTTGTATTTATTCTATATAGTTTATCTATTTCTATCTCATCTCATCCCCTCCCCCAAATTGCTAAAGTTTTCTCTAATATCTTCTCTACAATCCTCTGAAATTGCTCTAAATCTCAAAACAAAATTCTTTCACTCTTAATTCCAATAGAGCCAGATCTAATTCTTTTTCCAACTCTCTGTCTATAACTTTGTCTTACTTTGGAAAGTTTCCACTATTCATTAGTTTTATATGAAACTTACAGGCACTTGTTTTACCAAGCTTTCCATGTTCTTATCATCTTTCATCTTTACAAGTCTTTCAGCATTTTTTTTAAAAAGCTGTCAATTTAATATCAATTTACTGGCCAATTGCTCAACGTGTTTTGAAGCAAATCTGGTATAATTCCTCTCTCCGCACATTAGTCTAGCAATCCTCTCCTCCCTTCTACTACTTTTGCTGCTTTTCTGGTGGTTGTCATTATATTGTAACTCAAAAAATGAAAGTGTATCAAACAAGAGAAAGAGAAAAGGCAAGCTTCCCCCTTTATTTTATTTATTTATTTTTTTATTTGTCAAATAAAAATTACAAATTCAAACAAAGAAAATAAGAAAATCAAAATGTGACAGGGACATTAGGCAACACCAGTGCACTTACACATACATGCTTTGGGACCTCATAAATATGGAGTGAGGTCCACAGACGTTAAGTTAGAATTAAAATTGTGAAGTTTAATGGCTAAGACAATTGAATCAGGTAAGATATTCCAGACTTTGAGAATTCTGTTACAAAGATCAATTTTTTTATAATTGAGTTTAGAGTGGTTTACATTAAGTTTAAAGTGGTTGTTTGCTTCCATTACATTACAATGAATGCTAAAAAAGTAATTTACAAGTATAGCATTACTATGTACAATTTTGTATGCGGTATCTAAGTCTGACCACAAGCGTCACAGTTTTAAACTATCAAGCATTTCAAGCCTAGTAGCATTAGGTATTCTATTATGGACAGAAGACTGTAAGACCTTTCATGTAAAATACTTATGAACTCGCTCGATTGTATTAATGCCCAATATGCAGTAAAGATTCCAAACAGCTGAATAGTATTCTAGGATTGGCCTAGTGTATGTTTTGTAAGCATTAATGAGCAATATAATATTTACAGGGGGGGGGAGAAACTTCATAGAATTAAATTCACAACTTTTAGTGCTTTTTTAGCAATGCTGTTAACAATGAACTTTACAACATAAATCATTAGAGATGAGTACATCCAGGTCCTTAACAAAATAAGGTCATCTACTTTTTCTACTTTGTCTTCCTGTGCCCTTAATATTTTTGTCTCAAATGGCACTCCGTTGTTAGTTAATATCCCAGTCAGTATCTCCATAGTTACAGACAGCATTACAGTCTGGTTCATGTTACATTGAGAAAATCTCTATCTAAACTAGTGACAACTGAAAGTGATTAAGAAATGAAGCTTTTTTGAACTTTTTGTCTATGTAGGTTGCATTATGACTTTGAGCTTGATTGAAATCCCTCAACTTCCAGCTGCTCAACTCATGAACCAACCACAAAAAACTGTCCTGGTTACAAGTGGGCAATCTCACAATCTCTCCTTTTTCCAGAGAGGCTGCGCTGGCCAGAATTCACCGTCTGACTGCTGATCTCCACAACAGTGCTATCCCTGCTCCTTCAGGGATGTCTACTTCACCATGTATTCTCACCGGAAGCTTACTTATAAGGCTTACTATAAAATATCAATAATTTGAGAAAGCATTTTTCTGTTCTTTTGATAGGACAACTTTTCTGTTCCAACTGATGCAAACTTTTGGGGGGTGGGGTGGGGTGTATAAAAATTAAACCAAAGTATTTATTCTTGTTGATTGGTGGTATTGTTATTTTAAAGATCATCTGTGACATGGAAGCCCAGATCCATACTCTGAGGGAAGAGCTGATTCAGGTGAATACTCAAAGAAAACAGCAGTTGGTAGAACTTAGTCTTCTTCGGGAAGAAGAAAAACAAAGAGCTTCTAGAGATCATGAGACTGCCATGAACAAACAGAAAACTGAGTCAGAAAAAATGATTCTGGACCTGAGGAAGACTAATGCTGCAGAAAAGGAAATGACACTGGAAAAGGTAAGATTAAAAATATCTGATTAAGATATTGCAATTCAGGGATATTACAATTAATGTGAAACTAAATCAGTGTTGGAGTAAGTTTGAGAAGTGTGAATAGTATGTTACTATCTTCAGTCTGCACAAAACCAGCACTATAGATGGAGCGGTTCTTTATTGAAGCCTCTAGCAAATCAAAACTATAACACAAAGAGCTAATCTGCTTCAAAACAACAGAGTAGCCATGTTACGTCACTTCTCTGGGTAACTGGGGCATTTGCGCTTATGTTGCTGAAGAAAAATACTTGTTTGAAATGCCCCAGTTTTGATTGTCATTGAGGCAAAGAGAGGTGATTCAGTAAGGCACTTCATTCCACCTCCTCAAACTGAAGCAAAAATATCTCAACTCCAGAATGTGGCAGCATGGGCATTAATGCCACAGAATGCTTATGTGATACCACTACTGTATGAGCTGCGCTAGTTTCCAGTTGGCTTCTGGATATAGAGGGCCTGATTATTTAAACATGGCATAGAGACTGGTTATTTGTGGGACCTTGTATCTCTAGTTGTTTCTACTTCTCTGATAAGATCTGGTAGCATGGAGACATTTTATATCCCCTCAAATAATGTCATCTGTTGGAACTTTGGAGGCATGCCTCTCTTGTTGTTGCATCTGGTCTCTGGAGCAATCTTCCCCAGAGATCCATATGGCTTCCATCCTGAGGATGTTCCCAAGGACACGGAAAACTTGGCTGTTCTCTTAGGCTTCAAGGACAACATGGTTGGTGATTTTATTCTACTCTGTAGGTTGCTTTCTGGATGTACAGTATATCATCTGTGTCTCTGTTTTATTGTTCAGTGATAGAGAATACGCCACTTCTGCTCCACTCTGACCCCATTGGTTTTAGTCTGTATGTAATCTTGCAATTTTAATCTGTTTTTATATTTTCATTGTTTTTATATCTCTATTTTTACTATATTTTAAGCTGCTCAGAGTCATTTTGGGGAGTGAAAGAGGGAAGATATAAATTTAATAAATAAATAAGCACAAGGACTTATTAACAATGTATTCACTTATTATTAAAGTACCAGAGACACTATCAATAAAGTGTAAGGACCTACTTCAGCTAAGCCACCCAAGAAAGCAGAACTCTTGAAACAAGCCTGGTCTCAAAAGGAAACTTTTATTAGGAGCTAGTGACAGCAGGGAATCAAGGCAAGATCTGAGAGAAAAACCTGTGAAGCGATATATTAAAAGTAGCATTCAATACTCCTCCCCCCAGTGTCCCAATGTTCATCTGAATCCCAACCAATCCACATGTGGCATCGTGTTTTGATAACCGTTTTTTTCAGCAGGCTGTTCAAGGTCTTTCTCACTTTCAGTTTCTTCTGGCTCCAAGCACAAACCGTCTCTCAGATTAAGGTGAGACATTCCATCCCCTGGGAGAAGGACAACAAGGCAACAAAGCAGACAGTGCAAAGCATTCCCAAAGGCTCCCCCCTCCCAATAGAATGGCAGGCAACAAAGAAAGCTACAAAGCTAAAATAACTGAGGATACATTACTTTGGGGCCTGACATAAAGTGCATTCCTATTTAGTCTGACTTTTACTCCACTTCTGCCCAGCATTTTCTCTTGTCATAATTGCAGTAAATTGAATTTGCATGTTTTGGTTCAAATGAAAAATCAGAGAGTGTGGCCCAGAGTCAGATATTATGAAGTTGTGTTCTTGTATAGGAACTTGAATATTGAAGTTCAGTCTTGACATAGCTCAGAACAGTGTTGACATACCTCAGAAGGGAAATACTTTCTTGTTTATCTCTTTTTTACTATCTTTATTTTTATTTGTTTCTTTAACTTGTTTCAGTTTGCTTACCATCCGAATCGCTCTATAGAGGATGCTATTTCTTCTGTTCTCCATCTGAGCTGGAGCACTTAGATGAAAGAAATACTCATGTGCAAATGCTGTTTGTTGACTTCAGTTCGGCATTTAATACAATCATTCCTCAGCATCTAGTAGACAAACTGGGCTTCTTAGGCTTTAATACTCCATTATGCAACTGGATTCTTGATTTTTTTATTGACAGGCCCCAGTATGTGCGAGTTAGGACTAATATTTCTAACACCATTTACTTGAGCACAGGTTCTCCGCAGGGCTGCGTCCTAAGTCCGCTATTGTTCACCTTTTGACCCATGACTGTTATGCAAGGTTTGCCACTAACCATATTGTGAAGTAGTGTGCCTTATTCAAGATAGCAATGAGGGTGCTTACCGCAAGGAGGTAGAGGGTTTGGTGAACTGGTGTAAGAAAACCAGCCTAGTTCTAAACGTTGGAAAAACTAAAGAGATCATTGTCCATTTCAGAAAATGCAGGCACAGCCACACTGTATGTATTCGTGATTCACCTCTGGAGATGGTTCGTCTTCTTGTTGTGCCATATCCGTTATTGGACGTTGGCAATCATGTTGACGATCCTGTTTTTATCAGCAGCCGCACGAAAAAGTGCTGCTGGGTTTTGTCCAAACCAATCCCTTAGATTTTGAAGCCACAATGTTCTTCTTCTGCCTGGACCTCATTTACCTTCAATCTTTCCCTGGAAGATTAAATGGAGTATGCCATATTTTTCTGGGTGTCACATCACATGTCCGCAATATTCTAATTTTCGTTTTTTAATTGTTTTGATGATTTCCCTTGGCTTTCCCAGGCAGCTTATCACCTCCTCATTTCTGATCTTGTCAACCCAGCTTATAAGTGACAGCCGCCTGTAAATCCACATTTCAAATGCTTCTACTCTCTTCAGGTGGCCTTCTGTCAGAGACCAACTCTCTACTCCATAGAGCAGGATAGAAAAAATATAGCATCTGACAAGCCTGATTTTCAGTCTTGGGCTTATGTCGTGACCGCAGAAGACCTTTTTCATTTTGAAGAATGCTGTTCGGGCTTTTTCTATCCTTGTCTTTACTTCAACGGTCATGTCCCAGCTTTCATGTAAATTAGAACTGAGGTAGAATTGGAGATGGTTAGCAACATCAAATTTCTGGGTGTGCAGTTAACAAGACATTGGTGAAGCAGGCACAGGAGTGCCTGCATTTTCTGCGTCACATGAGAAAAGTACATCTTTCTTCCCCTGTCCTTACCACTTTCTATAGAGGGACGATCGAGAGCATCCTATCATATTGCATCACAGTCTGGTTTGGAAGCATCACTGCTTCAGACAGGAAGGCGATGCAGAGAATGGTGAGGATGGCAGAAAAGATTATTGGCAGTTCCCTCCCTTCCATCCAGGACTTAGCATATTAGTCTTGCTTGAGCAGGGTCCACAGTATTGTCTTCACGACCTGTTTTCCTTGTTACCTTCTGAGAGGAGGCTTGGTGGTATCTAAAGCAGAACATTTAGATTCAATCACAGTTTTGTTCCATACAGTATCAACCTTGTGAACTCTCAAGCTTCCTCTTTCCACTATGTATTCAAGATGGAAAGTGATTAATAAGGGTGTAGGTATATACATATATGTAAGGGTGTAGGTGTATACATATATATGTATATAGCATGTCTATATGTGTGTTGTGTATGTGTACACTTTTGAAAGCAGGCAACAATTTCGTTTTTAATGTGTGCCAGTGTGCCCACAGTAAAAGTTGACAATAAAGGTTATCCTTATCTTACATTAACAATTTTTTAAATCAGGAACTTGAATATTTTGTCCTTTAAATATGAGATTTCCAGGAAGCATTTGATACCAGCATAGAGTATTAAACCATATTACTAGTTTTCATCCTCTGAAATGGTACAGCATATAAATGAAGCAAAAATACTGCTCCTGATAAAATAAACCTTCATTTTACTTTACATCTAGGGCTTCAGTTTGGCTTGTTTTGCCGTTGCTTTGGCAAAATTCCTTTTTGATGGTGTTTAAATACTTGATGTTAGATTACAAAGGAACTTCTCAAAATACTTATCTACATTAGTTGACATCCAGGTGTTTAAATGCTTTAGCATATATTAAAGTACCATCTTTAATTTATTGCAAGATGAAATACAGCAACCAAATGGAACAATTAGCATATAGAATTGGAACAGCATTTGGGAAACTGACATTTCATTTGTGAGTATCATATTCTTCGTCTCTAATTTTAAACAGCTTATGTTGGAAATCTGCCAGCTTGAAACTATTACATAACTATGATCAACAGTTCAGAATCTTTTCTGAATTTAAAGAAATCCACACTTAGCATAATTATTTAAAGCCAAGGTCAGAGAAAGTATTTAAATCTTTGAAATTCTTAATTAAAGGATTAATATTAACTCATGACGACATTGTCATTTTTGCTTAAAAGCTGAATTTGAATCACGGTTCCTTTTTTTTCCTTAGATCATTTTAAATTTGAAACACATTAGTGTGAAAAGTTAAGTTTTCCAAATTAAAGTTATGCTGCTTTATGATGGTGTATTTTCTTTTCAAAAGTAGCTGACCTTTTTTTTAAAGGAAGCAAAACTATAATAGTAACTAATGCCAACTGAAAATGTTAAATGTTTGCCTATATCTCCAGAAACAGAATCAGATTTTCTAGAAACTTTATATGGCAAGTGGACCAAATTACAGAGCACATGTAATTTGAAGAAACATAACATGAAATCTGTATGATAGTTATTGGATATAGAAAAGATTTTTCCATCTTAAGAAGTTTGGTAGATGATCAGTGGGATGTTGGGCTGAAGTTCACTTTATCTGAGGTATGTAATGTTTGAAATGTCAGAACTTGCTGCTCAACTTTCGAATCTTCTGAAGGCTACACAAAAGCATTTGATGATGCTGTGATATTACCAGAAGGGACATGAGTGATTTCTTTTTCCTTTACTTTTCTTTTCTTTTTTTGCTTGTACTTTTTAACCTCACTTTATCTTTGTGTGAATTAGGAAGAGGTCTGTCTGAGGTTTTTTAAAGTTTTTTTCTTGGAATGGGCTCAAGCCACACTTGTCTCATCATTACCATGGTAATAATGTTTCTCTCTGCTGTCCTT